GGTCACAGGACAATGGCCCAAGGCGTCCGGGACCTTTAGCGCTCTCTGAAGCGTTGGGCTTCACTGACAGTGAAATCGGACAATCCACAGAAGTCTGCCCAGCTACGGGGCTGAAGATAGCCTCCAACGACACAAAAAGGCTTGTTGCAGACACAAAAAGGAGAGTGGAGGACTGGTGGCAGAAGATCCACCTCAGGGAGCATTAAGACACCTACGCTCCCAGGCTTGGGCACAAACCTTGTTTGAGTCCTCCCGATTCAAAGGGAAATAGCCGCATCATCATCATCATCATCATGATGATGATGGTCTAGATCAAAACCGAATGCCTTATGAAGCAGTGTTGGACAGCTTTCGGGAACTAAAACAGAGTATCATACCGCAATAAACCCTTTCCAAAAGTCTGCGCCATGCCTTTTCGCCATTGCTTGCTCACATACTCCGAGCATATATTGGACACGAAGGCTGCGTCTGCGTTCGGCGTGAACTCCACTCGGCTCTTATTGAAAACGAGCGCTGCGTCAGCGTTCAGCGAGGACTTGGATCCAATTGCGTGTATCCATTCCAATCCAGTCCAGATACGATAATCGGTTATAACGATTGCATTTTCGGGTTTTCTCGTTATCGTTATAAGTGGATTGTATCGTAGTAGAATTTACCATACAATATAGTAAAATTGTATGGTATAGTATAATCTATTGAGGTAAGATACTCTGTTTTGAGTTCCTGAGAGCTCTCCAATACTGCTTCATAAGGCATTCAGTTTGATGGTTTTGATAAAATAGTGTGATGGAACAGTGTTTGATATAATGTTTGTTTCTAGTTCAAACCAATCAACAAGGGGCCGGTGTTGATGACGTGTCGTGGTTCGTTCCGACCAACATTGCTAGATTACGTCAGTTGTGGAACTCCCGCGGAGGGGGGTACCCCCCTCACTCACTTCAGTTTGCCTCCCGCAGAGCTTTATATTGGGAGAGTGGCCAGTGGGTGTGGTGAAGAAGGCACTGGAGAGGAGAAAAGTGAAGGAAAGGGAGGAGAGCGAAAGAAGGAGCAAAGAGGAGACGATCGCCATTTTGACGCAACGCTGTCAGCGTGGAGCACTGTTGAGGCTATGTGTCGTCTGCTACGGGCTTACGGTATTTCTTTTTCACAAAATTTGCATTCAAACGTAGAGCAACTTCATTCGTTAGCTTTTTAAGCCACAGGCAAATGACACTATATCATTTTCTTGCCAGAGCCTGCCAGATAAAAGAAAAGAACCAAAATTTAGATGTTGATCCCATTCTGTTGCGCGAATGAATGAAAATGGCGGCCCTCCCCGTTGAGCTGGAAGCAGCCGAGAATTCGTGCGCTCACGCCTCTCGCTCTACAACGCGGGCCGATTGGCTCACTTGGGAGGGGGGCGTTATGCCGGCGAGATCATAGACTGGCCAACCTCTCCCCATATACGGCTCCGGCCTCCCATAAAGCCCCTCTTTCCTGGGAAAAGTGGCGTCATTCATTGTCGTTTGAATGCTCGAGGCACGTGCCGCGCGCCGATTCTGGGAAATTCATGGCGTCTGAAATCCAGCTTAGTGCTGCGCTAGAGTGTACTAGAAGATACGAGTGGGACGAGCTATAGGCTCCGGTCATAGTTTCAGTTGTACCTCAAAATGTGGAAAGCGATCAGGTGGAACCAAGCCACTTTGATCGCAGCGCCACCTTCGCTGCGATCAAGCAACGACACAGGTCAAGGTCATGTGGGCAATATAGCCCCTAAGGGGCTATATTGTATTTTTTATGATTTTGACGTCGGAGGTAACGTCAAAGCAAACGACACGACGACGTTGCGCAACACAAAGATACCGTCATAAGGCCGTCGTGACATCGTGTTGCATCGAGGACGACGCTGTTTGGCGACATCAAGTCACCGTTGTAACGCGGTCATGATGTTGCGTTGAGGACGACGCCGTCACGCAACATCAAGTTGCCGTTGTGACGCGGTCGTGACATCGCGTTGCGTTAAGGACGACGCCGTTACCCGACATCAAGTCGCCGTTGTAACGCCGTCATAACGTCGCACGCCACATCGAGGACGACGTTGACGTGGTTGTCGATGTTGACGCCCCCCGCAACGTCAAACATTGCTCTGACGTCACGTTAACGTCTGCCTGACGTCATCGTGAACGTCAACATCACGACAAAGCCTTGACGGCATGTAACGTCGTCGCCTTCGCCGGCATCAACGTCGACGCACAGTCACGACGAAGTCTTGACGTCGTGAAGCTGTCGGAACGTCTTCGTGACGTCGAGTTGCGTCATGTTGACAACGACCGGACACAAAGCGTCCTTATGACGTTGCATTGAAAAGGACGCCGTCATCTTGACATTCCGTGACGTTGTCATCGCCGTCATCAAAGTCAACGTTGACATCGTCGTCGTGGTCAATGCGATATGACGTCGGAACGCAGTTTTGATGTTGTGTAACGCTCGTTGTCAACGTCGATGACGACATTGAAGTCAAGGCGTCGTCCTGATGTCGCATGGCGTTGTGACGACAAGTCAGGTCGCGGTGACTTTATGTACGTGACGCCTGACGTCCAGATTGTATAAAAAAATATAGTCCGGCGTTCTATCGTTTCTATGACCTTGACCAGTGTGCCGCTCAAGCTTTTCGTTGGAACGAAATGCGTCTTTTTATATAAAGCGGCTAATCCGAACCACTTCGCTCGCACCGCCCGAGAGGGCGCTAAGAGCGAAGTGGCTTGGATTAGCCGTTTTTTTCCACATGCGAAGGTACCAAAATAGCACTCCGGTGGCCCCACTCATCCTTTCTAGTACACTCTAGCTGCTCTGTGCTGCCATGATCTTCCCAAGAGCTGCACGTCGCACGTGCCTCGACGCACCTTGCGCTACTTTTGAAACATAAAGGGGCTGTAGCCTCCCGCAGAGCCGTGTATTGGGAGAGTTTGGCCAATAGGCGGAGCAAAGGCCGCCGCCAGCGCCGAATATTCCCCCTACGCTTAGAGCGTAAACTAAATTTGTGACAATGCGTCGACCAATCAGGAGACCTCTACTCCATCTCACAAATGTCTGCAGTGAAGACAAAGGCACAGGCGCGTGAGCCTAGCTCAGCGAAACGCTTTTGTTTGTACGAGACCTCGTGCATATGAAGCACTTTCCAAAGCCACGCGCTCGTGCCCATGCCTTTGTCTGCACTGCTAGAGCAGCGTCCTGAGACTGGCTGAAAGAAAACAGTGCAAAGGGTGGGGTGCGCGAGCGTCTTGAGACGCGGAGTTCCGCTCGGCACGGCTCAAATTATACTTCGTTTCACTTTATCTGCGAGCGAAGCCAAAGCTAGAAGCGCGAGACCAGCGCTTTTTGCATTTCTCCCCAGCTCGCGCGCTCGAGCAAAGCCTGAAAGCACGGAGCTTCCGTGCTCGCGCTTCCAGTTTTGCCTTCGCTCGCACATAAGGTGAAACGAAGTATAGTCGTGTCACATATTTAGATCACACAACCACCGCTAGGGGCTGTTTCGCGGCCTGTGGTTGGCCCCGAGATGCTCGCCTATTCAAACCAATGTATGGCCAAACTCTCTCAATAAACGGCTCTGGCCTCCCGTCGTTCGAAGCGCCATCTAGATTTTCGTTTCATAGCTGCGTTCCATAGAGCAGAGATGAAACACCATTTAGATACATAATCCATAAAACACACTGCAGTTACCATAGCAGTCGTCCAGCGCGTCGAACGACGGGAGGCGAAACGTGGTGAGAGGGGAGTACTGCTCGTGCACGCATCGTCTATGAACAGTTCCGTAACTAACTGAGCTAATCTAATAACGCTGGTTCTGACGAGAGAGAGAGAAGACTTTCGAAAGAGGAAATACGACCAAACGTCCGACGGGTCATACACACGACCCACTGTCGTGGTTGTACTGTCGTGAGCAAAAGTCTGGACAACACGGGAGCGCCAACCGAATTGCATCGCCGCGCTCCCTGACGGCGCGCGCCTAGTGCCGAGACCTGCGCAATGCGCACGCGCGTCTTTCCTTATCTGCTGGCCCACTCGTTTGCTCGCTTCAACACGATGCGCTCCTGAGCGATTAAATAGGCGCTAGGTGCCGCCCCGGGAATATCTTTCCTGCGACTCGGCGATGCGTTAAAAACTGTCGCTTATGTTGATGCAGCCGCAATGAATTGTAGAACTTGTTTTCGCGTACTCGAGGCAGCCTTGGGCTTTCTTCCGAGTGATCATGCACGCGCAGTAAAGTCATCACAGCTGATGTCAAACTGAACATTTTAAGGTCACTTCGCGAACAACCATGCTGAGAATTTACGGCCAGTACCATTATTTTTCCTCGTTGTTTTCATCGACTTCGTGACCCTTTACAACGCGTGCATAATAAATTGAGCAGCAGCTGTTTGCATTGTAGCCGGGGCAAATTTAGGGTGGGAAGCTTAAAAATAAATAATGGAGGGAAGCGACAGTTTTTAACGCGTCGCCGAGTCGCGGGAAAGATATGCCTGAACGGCGCGTGCCGCGGAGCACGCGAGCTCGTCCCGAGCGGTGAGCGAGGCTCTCGGAATCTTGGTTCCCGGGGCGGCACCTAGCGCCCATTTAATTGCCCAGGAGCGCATCGCGTTGAAGCGAGCGAACGAGTGGGCCAGCAGATATGAAAGGTCGCGCGTGCGCATTGCGCGGGTCTCGGCACCAGGCGCCGCGCCGTTAGGGAGGGCGGCGATGCGATTCGGTCGGCGCTCCCGTGTTGTCCAGACTTTTGCTCACGACATCGCGTCGGGAAAATGGCTGAGTCTGACTAGGTGTTGACCAATCGCAACGTTACCTGCTTCCACGCGGGGACTGATTGGCCGGCGCCTGTTCGGATTCGGCCATTCTTCCGACGCATCGTACGCTGATCGAGGTGATCCCGTCTGACGTTTGGTCGTGCACGCGGCCTGCCCCAATACGGGGCGATGGAAAGGTCTGCAAGTGCGTACCAGTGCCAACTAAAGAAAGACACTCGCCTATGATTGCGGCCAGGTGACAGTGTGGGACCGTCGGCACCAGAGTGACGCTGACTCGGCTATAGTGCTCCTGCACGTCCACTCGAATGTCGTCTTCGGTCACGACACCGAGTTCCTCCAGCGTTTGCGGCTTTTCCGGGTCCCGGATGTCCTTTATCAAGTCTGCATGGATGCATTCAATGACATCTATTGGAACGGCCAAGACTCGGTTATTTACCGTATATTTCTTCCACCCGCCTGCGGACCTCCCCTTCGCTGTTCTGCATCTTGGCGTACGGGGGGAGGTGTCACCTCGCCTTCTAGTGTGTTAAAACGCTCAAAACATTAATAGGTAACTCAAACTTTGTGAAGCACTAATAAAGGTGACATGACACTGAACAAACGTAAGAATCGAACGGCACAAACGTACACAGCAGATTGCAGAAGAAACGCTAGCAGACGCCACACGGCACCATGTTAACCTGTCAAAGTTGCCATCTTGGAGCCGCTGTTCCCTCCACTATCGCACGACTCTTCCGAATATTCCAGCATTATTTTGACGAGTTCTATTATTCCTTAAAAAATATGACTCAGTCACGTAATTTTATAAATTATTTTAGACTGTCCGAAGTGACTGCGCGCGACGGCCAGGCAGAGCTGTCGCCAGGTGATGCGTAGTAGGATGCGTAGCCCAGCCCGCCCAGCGGCGTCCATAGCCAAGCCAAGCTAAGCTTTATCCGTTATACGATACGATTGCGTCATTTGAGAACGCTCATTTTTCCCGTTAAACGGCTGTCTTATATTTGTTTTGCTTCCTCTACACGTCAAAATTCGGGTCAGCTGCGTTAACAACAAGCGTATGTAATCGTAGCGTGGGCCAGCAAAACGAAACGATGAACCTCCACGAACTGTTCCGATCGTTCATGGGATTTCCAAACCGCAGGGACCCGGGGTAAGTCACTGGAGGTGATCCCATATGTGAGAATTCAATCATCTCTTCACCTATTTTCTACGTATACGTGTGCACGAGGGCGAAGCTGATCGATTTGTTGTGAGTAGTCGACATCCTCTTGCACGATGCACAGTGCGAAAAAGACGTTATAAGGTCGCACTTTAGATCGACAGTTCCAATGTCCGCCGAGCATGAATCGGCAGGACGTTGAGTTTCTTGGCATAAGTTATCTGGACACTCACTGCTCACGTCGACAGAGATATAGATTATTCGCGACGTGCGCGAAAAAAAAGGCTCGCTGTGGAGTTGCCGAACGATCCATACGACATCTTTGATTAATTTTGCTTTCATTGACAAAAATGGGAACAGCGTCAGACTGTCCGCTTTTGCGTGTTGGTTTAGGAATGCAATGACTCCAAACTTCCGTCTTGCTTTTTACGCGCACCACCAAGCTTGTAGTTTGCAACTGATCATCACTATAGTCGATGACAGGTCAAGAACGAAGTGGAAGCACCTCCCACCTTTTTCCACTTAAGCAGAGTGGACGCTGGAGAGGAGGTCGCCTCCACTCCAGCGTTCCCTCTGCTACTAAAGTGGAAAGAGGTGGGAAATGCTTCCACTTCGTTCTTGACCTGTCACCGGCTGTATTCAGGATTACAGCTCCTGACGTCACGGCGAGGGAAATCCTGCTTGTGACGTCAAGAACGAAACCCCCTTCCAATAGGGCGCCACGTCTCGACGCTAATAGTCGCTGACAGCCTTATCGTTCCGTAGCCAATCAGAGACCCTGAAGAGCAAATTACAATGCGAGATGCGTGAACATAATAACCCACATCCTGCGTTTCTTGGGCCTTCGGCGAGTCTAGTCGGTTTAACATGGCGTAGGTGTAACAGCACATAACAACAAAGACTGAGAGAAGGAACACAACACAGAACGAGCGCTGTACACCTACGCCATGTAACTGCGCTCGTGTGTTCCTTCTCCAAGTCTTTGTTGTTACGCGCTGTTACACCTACAGTATGTTAAGCTTCCACCAACTAGCCCAGCTCTGCACTTTGTGGTAGTAGGTTTACATGGACCGTTGGAGGCTTATGCAAGAATGCGACCAGTGGATTGCTGTCGCCTTGCTACGTGCTTGCAGATTGGCTGCCGACTCTGATGCCTTCGTTTTGTGACTCGTTTACTCTTGGGTGCTCCCCGTCCAGACTGGGAGAACCGGCGTACCGCGACGACTCTGGCAGCGGATTTGGAGGCGATGGCAGCCCCTATGACGGTTCATTCTTCGCCGAGCCCTGGGAGATGCTGAGGCACTTCGAAGACGTCTTTAGGAACTTCGGACTAGCCGAGTTCCCACACGGTGAGTCCGGGGAAAGAAAGCCCCTTTGACGGAATTGACGGTAGAGACTGTTTGTAAGGCGGTTCGGGGCTATCCACACAACTCTAGCGAAGTCGCTCTCGCTGTATTGGCATTCTATCGTTCCCATAGACCATTTTACTAAAAAAATGAAGAATGAGAGAAAAGTGGGAAAGGGCTGCCACATGCTTTTCTTCTTTCTGGGTTGGGACAAATGAGAGAAAGACCCGAATGGCGGTCATAAAACTGTATTTCATCGGACATTGTCACTTTTGCCAGTCAGTGGTAGACGAAAAAGGTCATTTTCTACCTTAGCCCGGCGCAGCTGCAGAATTCAATGCACTCCAGGAGGCACTGCAATATTCAAAATGGCGCTGCCCACGAAAAAACAGGCTATACTTTGTTTCATGTCACAATGGACCGCAGTGAACGCAACGAGTCATCCGTATCACGTTACTATGCACCCTGCACGTTGCTGCACCCCTCCTGAAGGTCATGTGACACACGGCATTAGATTGGTTGCTCCGATGGCTCGTAGCATCTGCTGCGGTCCATCATAAGGTGAAATGGAGCACGGCAATTTTATTACATTGTCCATTGCCTTCCTTGTTTTCTCAGGTAATTCTCTCTTGTCACATTAGTTTATCGTTCCAATGTAAGTATGGTTCTTCCTCATTTCCTTTCATAAAGCTTTGGCTGGAACTTTCCACCTACTCGCGTCTTTCAATAAATTGAATTTTCTCTGTTTGTTGGCTTCATGCCTAGTAAAGTAGCCCAAATAGCCGGCGCTGTTAGTCACGGCTTGGCACTTGCTTGAATTAACCTAAGCAAACGTCAATTGGACAGGAAGCATTGCCCAATAATGTTAAGAAAATGGCTAAGCTACATGTTTCTACCCATCAATAAGCCGCTCCGGTGGCTGCGAGTCACGTCGGCCAGCGGGTCCCCAGGTGGCAAGTTCAAATCCTGGCCGAGGTGCCCACAGTCTGACGGAGGCTTATTGCCAAGAAGCCCGAGATTTCGGTAGCGCATCGAAAAAAATCCCCGATAGGTCGAAATTATTCCTCAGTCCTCTGCTGAGACGTGCCAGATGCCCTTTGCTGGTTTGGTACCTAGTAAAACCCTGATTTTTGATTTTTTTTCTTGATTTCTGCAGATCAAAATCTTAGACATTTCCAAGATGAAGCTCAGACATTTTCAAAAACCTCCCCATACTGTCGTCAGAGCTGACAATATCAGGCTATCCCCAGGACGCATTAAGCCCGGACAAAATGGCCTCTCGAGGATCGTTTCAGGTTGTCATTCGGGACTTCCTTGGGACAACTCGTCCTGAATTTGACGTCTTGAGTATGTCATCAAGACGTCGGTGCATTGCCTGTGCAGGGGCCGAGGTGGATGAGGGAAGCCGACAAGAGGACCTCAGGGACCGCATGCTCAAGGTACCGGACTACACGGAGCCCTTCTGGGGCAGCCAGATGGTGGGTGTTTCGCTGCTCACACGCACGCCCCAACTGCCGTAGCGCTTTGGGATTTTATTTTACAATGCCCGTCGTTTTGAGGCACCATTTACTGTATTTTTAAAAGTATAGTCTACACTTGGAGAATTGTTCACATCCGTTTCATAGTCCACTCTTGGTGCCTAGTCTGCCACCAGTGCGTATTCTGCATCATCCGGTGCATAGTCCAAACTCGGTGCATAGTCTGTATCTTGTGTGTAATCTGCACTTAAAAAGATTTTCATAAACAGCACACCTTGAAGAGGCCTGCTTTGTTAGTGCACAAAGAAACTTGTATCACACAGAAATCGTCACGTAGTCTGTCACTTACAAAATCCGTCACATCTCGTCAAAATGAAGGACTGAAGAATTACAAATCTTTGAATGGTCCGCATCTGTAGCTAGTCCACACCACATAAAATCTGAACTTTTAAACGTGTATTGTCTGTGGACTATAGTTTGAAAATATAGTATTTATCAAGTTGCACCTGCATTGGTCTCTTGATTGCTTGCATCAGAATTTCCTGGCAAGTTGCAGTTGTGTGGTGTACAATTGTTTGCATAGTTTGAGCCTGTGTGATTACCTAAGTGAAAGCAAAAATAAATATTTTAGGAAACATAGAAACGAGGGTTGTGTAACATTTCCTGCACTGCTTCTTTCTTTTGTTTTTTTACAAGATAGGTTACGAGATGATGTTGCAAAAATAGCGGTTCTCATCATTGGTCACCACCCTGAACGACCGCTGCACCGAGTGTGCAAATGGTTGTTAATCTTCTACATCACACTTAACCGACTCAACTATCATGCACTAAATTTCAAGTGTTGTTCTAGCACATGGGCGGCCATACAAACATGCAAACAGCCATAAAAAATAATTTTGAGTGAAGAGCCACACTACAAAGGTGATGTGGCAGGTTTTTTTGTTTTTTTTTTAAATTTCTTTCATTTGAGAGTGGTTCTAATGTTTTGGCTCTAGTGTTGTTGTCGTTGCAGTTCTGAGCAGCTCTGTTAGGTGTTTGCCCGTCAAGGTCGCACACAACTTTTGTTTTTACCACATGCATTGTTAAGAAGTGTGCTCACAGCATTACATTGAACCGAATATTGACAAAAGTTTCTGGCCTGCAAGCTATGTTTAGGTGGCACGAGGTTGCCAAACTCTAGCAGTATTTTTAATTGTATATCTCTTCCTTTTTACTGTTCTTCTGGGGGGGGGGGGGGGGGTCGGAGTCGGAGGGGGGGGAAGCTGTTACTTACCAGAGAATCGCGAGCCACGCTTTGACCAGTGAATGGCCGCATGTGGTTCATGAGCTGCATTTTGGTCACCCCTGCTCTCGCATGAGATCGCCGAGTCTTCCTCTAATGTTGAAAGTGAGTTATTGTCTGTGCTTGTGTCATTCCAGCCACATCTTCCGGTGGGGCCACATTTTCCATCCGGTCCTGGCCAGTTGGAAGACAACCGTTTCCGAGACATGGGTAACCCGGCATCGTTACTTCCTCGCGCTTGAGCGAAAGGGCCGTCGCGATATCCATTGACCGATGCAAAGTGCACTCCAGTCGTGCTCCTGTGCTCCTCTTTGAGTGTACAGAGATATATTTATTATTTTGCTTTTATTTAATATATAGGGTGCCTTCGAAAATGCAGCTCAGATCGCTCCTGCAAAAACTATGCATTGTGCAGAAAAGAGGTTGATGCCGTCATGGTCTGTGCCAAAGGGCCCATTAAGAAAAATGATTAGTGCTCAATACAATTGGGTAATTAATTTTTTTTATTGTAATTTTTTGTTGGTAATTTGGGGTTTATCGCAGTTTATTTTTGTCAGGTTCCCAATGGCTTCAAATTCAGAGTTTCATTTTATTGTGTTTTCAGTTTTTCGAGATTCTAAATAGAGATAAACAATTCCGGACATAAATACACACTAAGTCGACAAAAGTTTGTACTCCCAATCGCCCGTGCGATTGGTAGTACTAACTGTCCCATGGCAAATCTTGCAAACGAGCTCGGCTTCAATAAACATCAGTGCTTTGAAATAGCCATACTCCTGAATGTAGTCGTTGGGAAGAATCAAACCTCCAGATGGCATTCTATAAAATCTACAGCTTTTTTGACTGTTATGAAGACACAACCCCTCCTCTATCTAAGAAGCCCAAATAGTCTGGTCCAAACTGGAACAGTGGCCTTCGTGACCCATACATTGACCTGATGTGCTTATGCACTTTGACAAGATAGAAGGGAAACTCAATTTTGCCATAGACGCGATATAAAAAATAATGAAGTGGCCTTTTTTTAGAATCGCTAGCCTCGTGCTCGACAAGCTTGGTTTGTAAAATACAGTCTTTTTTGCTGTTTATTTTGCCACCGTGACTTCAAAATTCAAAGTTTTCCCCAATTGCGGAATATTTTACCGGCAAGTGTTTTTGAGATTTATCCGAAAACTCGGAACCCTCTCTAACTATAATATGGGCCATTGCAAAATTATAGTGCAAAAGATTAGGACAGGAAGGAACAATGGGACACGACAGAGCGCTCTGTCCTGCGCCATTGTTCCTTCCTGTCCTAGTCTTTTGCACTATACTCTAAAACCCTTAATGTGTGCGAGCCCCTAATTTTTGTGAATTGAAATATTCGCGAAATTTAAGGGCACATAAAGATTTCGATCCTTGCGGAGTTTCATTGCAGGCGTCTGGAATTCGCGAAAATTAGTGGCCGCGACTATGTCCTTTGTGACCGATTCCCGAAAAATAGGGGCAGCGAATAGAAAGGGTTTTACAGTGATTTTGTAATGAACAACCAACTGACCCAACAGTTAATTCTAATTTTTTAACACATGCTTATGCGCTATACAAATGCAGTCTGTACAGGCAAGTTACACGGTTGGTGAGACATAACATGGGGGGGGGGGGGGGGGGGGAATGGTCAAGATAAGTAAAATAAGTATGTAAAGTTTGTTTATTAACTTTTTATTAGGGAAGGGGTGAGCATGTGGTTCCATTTAGAAACTTGCTCAGCATCATCGAAAACAAATACATAACTTGAGAAAAGTTTGGATTGTGTGGGAAGCGCGGCACTGCAGAAACGCAGATTGAAAGAGACAGAAACTGCGAGGGCACATTAGGGTTTGGGCAGCCTCGTTCCCATTTTACTAGTGGTTACTTTAGAGTCCCCATGTGCACCGAATCTGTCTAAAAATTTACTTATTAGGAGGTTTTCGACAACGCCCAGCGAGTTTCTAATTGAAACCATATGTTTACCTTCACGAATTATAAAGTTGATGAACGATGAACAAAATTACGTTAATTGACTTATCGCGACAAAAAGCCCTCTATTTTATGTCCTCTTGGCCGTACAGCTTGCCTGCACAGACCTCGAATGTGTAGCTTTCGTGGCTTTTTTTAAAAAGTCTACAGAGCCTAAAGAAAAACAGCCTGTGTACGGGCCTGCCAGTGGACTATTCGTGGTCTGCCAGTAATACATACATTCAGTGACCAACGATTGAAAAAGTTGCGAGTTCTCTTTTTGCGAGACCAGATCTTCCGATAACTCATTCCAGTGCCATGAAAAGCATGGGAAAAGTGAGTTATTGAAGATGTCGGTGTAGACACAAAATTTGCTTTAGCGAACGCCGGGGGTAAATGTTTTCCTCAAACGTTCCTTGTACCAATGCAGACTTGGATGACCACGTGGCCGCGAGGGGCATCGACAGTCTGCTGGCACAGCCGCCGGACCCGGGCGTGGTGGTCGGAGTGCAGCCGCAGCCGGACGCTCAGGGAAGCACCTCGATGCACACCTTCACCTCCATCAACGGGGTGCGTGTCGTGCATCGCCATTTCTACGGCAGGAAGCGCTTAAGAGTGGCGAGAAGGCGTTGCACACGTGTCATGGCAACAGAAAACACGTTCCCGAATAACGAAGCGTAGCTGCTCACGTGATCTCGGGAAGCCGTGGGAGGAAATAAAACGCGGCAAAGAATAGTGCAGCGGGCGTATCGTGCCACGACTTTGCGCAGCAGCCAGTGGTAGTGTACATGATATACCTCCTCCCTTCGTGATCACTTCAGTTGCCGCAGGGGGCTGCTCGCAATCCGAGGGCGCAAAAAACACGAGGCGTCAAACGCACCCTCAAAAGACAGTACCCGTGGAAACTTCCGATTAAAGCATACCCTTCATAGACCCCTTCTGAATACTGTAAACAATTTATCTCTCGCAAAGACCGATATATTGAAATTTTTGCTAACTCAAAAATATGGTGAAAAATAAATCCCGGGAGTACACTTACCCTATGGTAACTAATACATAGTGTACCACTCCCAGTCGCAATATTTTGTACCCGCGAGATATTCTCGAAATTCACACTCCACCAAATTTTTGTACAGATTTGTACAAAACAAATTGAGCCCGTGAAAATAAAATAATTTACGGTAAACTTTACCTTGTCTTAATCGTTCTAATAAACCCGCGGAGCCCATAAACGTATTGCGTGCGCAATGCTTGCGAAACCACGCAAAACTTAGTTTCTTGTCCCCAAGAAGCCAGTGGCGCGAGCTTGAGGTCTCTCTTGTAGGTGATTTAGCCGCCGGGTGACATACCTGTGGGTGTCGTCAAACCGGCTCATCTGTGGTTTTCCTCCGGTGTGCAGAAAGTGGAGGAGAAGCGGGTAACGACGGATGCGGAGGGAAACCGGGTGGTGAGCATCACGCGGAGCCTCGGGGACCGGTCCCACACGGTCACAACTCGCACGGGGCCCCAGGGCAGCGTCCAGACCGAGGAGCACTTCGTCAATATGGACGAAGGCGAGTGCTTAGCACGTCCCCTGCCTTCCTTCCCCTGACACGGAGCTCTTCGTCAGAAAAGCATCGGGGCTACTGGGATTCCGGCCAGAGGCTGGTTCAGGTTGCAACCAATTCCGGCTAAAGTTTAGCTGCACCCGAGTGCATTGTGTTGTCTCGTGACCTCTTACGACGATAGAATACACTAGCGCCATCTGTCGGGCAGCTGTGGAACATTCGCGATTTTTGTTTCTTTCCTGATGCGAAAATCGGGACGCTGACTGCGAGCAGGGCAATATTTTTTTTATTACCAGTTTCAGTCACTTTTTAGTCTGAAGTACTCAAGACTTGGTCAGTTTGGTGGCAAGATTGTTGGGAGACATTGAAATAGTGCTGTAAATATTTTGACGGGGGACATTAAAATTCCTGGAAAAATGTTTTCGAGTCTTCAGGAAGTGGCACCACGGACGTCAAAATGATAGTCAAAACTATTTTGACTGTAGACGTCAAAAAGAGTGACTGCCTACTTCAAAACCTGCACTTAAAATTCCAGAGCACAACCACATAGATGCCAGCAGCATGGCAGTTTGTTTTCTCGTAAGACGGTACAAGTCTGCACAGCGCACTTAATTCCAACCAACCTTAACAGCTCTTGCACAGCGCAGGAGCTTGCTACAAGCTGCAATGACTAGAATGCTTGAAAATGGAGAGATGGGCAAGTTGGTACATGACCTTTAAAACAATATACGGCGTAAAATAGGAACAAAAGTAGAGGAACAACACAACAAAGCGGTACTTTCAGCTGAGTGTTTATTTTTAAAAAAATCTTTACACTTTATTAGAGTATATAGTCTTATACACCCTATCAGGGTGTAAAGGGTGTTTACCATATTTACTTCCATAATGAATGCACTTGCATAATAAACGCACCTCCTACAACGGGTACTAATTAGGGGTGTGCGAATAGTGGTTTGAATCGAATAGCGTTGCGTCATTTATAGCTTTGAAAGCGCTAGGGGAAACCAAGATCTATCGGTTCTCGTTGTAGTGTGAATGCTGGGAATGGCACTTCGCTATTCGATTCGAACCACTATTCGCACACCCCTAGTACTAATATTTTGACTTTTTTTTTTCCCTCGCATAATGAATGCTTTACCAGTTTTCGGCTCCACAAGTTTTGAATTGCTTCCAATTTAGCTAGCCACCAAGCCAGTTTTCTTTGTCGCCAAGCGGTCTGGCCAAGTCAAGCCAAGCCAAGCCGCTCTCGTAGTGGCTGCAAGTGCGTAGCGGTGTAGTTGCGGAAGTGATCAACCGTGAAATTGAGTGGCGCGCACACTTGACGAAGCTTGGGTCGAGGAATTGCCCAGCCCCTGGCATTCTTCGCCTATCGGATGCATTGATGTCAACAAACATGCAGTCGTCTGTGGTCCGCTTCGGGACAGTGAAATTGAGAAAGTGGTTGGGCCTAAGAACGGTCGCATTGCTCTCCGTGCTGCGTAAGCTTCGTAAGGCGCTTTTCCTTCGGCAAAAGCCACGCCGAAAGCAATTTATAAAGCATGGTTACTGTAGCTCGTCCCCGACCAGCCATGGGTGCGCCTCCATCGGTGGAGACGTGCTGCAGTACTTTGCCGTGTCATATTGGCACCTAATATGACATTTGCACGAAGTATGTAAATGCACAACTTTTACCCCGCGTAATAAGATATGTGTCATTCTTTTGGGAAAAAAAGTGTTCATTATGCAAGTAAATATGGTATATACCCTTGTTGACACCGGGAACATTCTGTGCAGGAGACAAAGCCAAGTTCGACGAAATGTGGGGCAGTGCAAGCAGCGGTCCATCTTTCGTGCCTCGTCAGCTGGTGCCATCTGCGCCCGGTGATCCAAGCTACGGAAGCATCTTCCGCAAGCTGTTTGGCTTTGCACCACCCGGCCGGCCCTGAAACCCTTTCCGGATGGACATGTGTTTTTCCGCAAACTTTCCTAGACCCTCCGTGTTAGTGGAACGCGGATTCCATTGTGGCAGACGTGGAAGTAGGTAGCAGACGTGGAAGTAGCCGGCGAAAGAGCTAGTCGGAGCTCATTCGTGGAAACCAGCTGTTTTCGCTACTTTTTGAAGTCAGTTGTCTTGCTGGTGTGTTAAAATTTCCTTGTAGAGTTTTTACAAATAGTATATGGAATAGGAATAAAGAATTCTCCTATTATGTAGAAATGGTGCAGCTTTCTTAGTTCCTTCTTTCAAGTTTGCTGATATTTTGAAGTCCTTTCAAGGATAGACTGAGACATCGATTACGGTTCGTGTTACCTGTTCCTGGACTCTAGGACGACCCCAGTTCCATGCACGACCAGTATGGCTTGATTAAATTGGAGCCTTTGTCATGCTGTGTAGGAGCGTTCATTACTTTATGGCACATGTTTGCATTGTGTATGTCATTGAATGGTAACAAAAAGATGCAATCTTTGTTAATTCTATTTTAATCTTTTGATACGCTCCGACATTACACGAGCTTTTGCAATCTGGTTTTTGGGGTTGACATAGAAAGATACCATTGTTTTGAGTCTGATGGCAAGCTTGTCACGAGTTATTTCAGAAAGCAACAAACAGTTTGGGGGGTGCTGTATCGAAGGACCTTGTCGAGTTTTTGTACTGCAGCGTAGTTAAAATTTTAGCTGGCGAACCCAGCAGATTGTCGCTGAAGCTTGCCAGGTTCGAAGCCATTTATAGGGATGAGCAGACAATTGGATATTCTGGAAACTTGTAATATCTTTTAATTTTTGTATCATTTAAAGTCTCCCCGCTGAAAAATTCTGGTTACGTCAAACCACTTAGCACGTGCATCGGAGCATGGGGTACATATGTCGTCGTCCTCTATTGTGCACATACGTAGAACGAGGTGCTTACTGGATGCACCACAGTCTGCATAATGCCTCCCAAGAGGAAGAAGCAGACTGAAGAGGAGATGGCTGAACTAAATGGCGACGTGCTTAGCATAAGAGTGCTCAACGTTTGACTAGGGTCAGAGAAGCTAGGTGAGATTGTCCTGCTATTGAACGAAAATGTGCAGACATTTGAGTGCCAGTTTAGAGTCTTATTTATACTGAAAACGGCAATGTTAGTTAATTGATTACCTTTCTCTTGATAGCTTTGGAAATGAAGTTGGCTCTGGCGTGTCCTATTACCTTTCTCTTGATAGCTTTGGAAATGAAGTTGGCTCTGGCGTGTCCTATGTCCCATCTATTTATTTCGTGTAAGTTTCTCGAGGGCACTTCGAGGTGCCTAGTTTTAGTCTACTTGTTACTTATTAACAATAAAAGATGCCCTTCTAGGTCTCTATAATTTAACGCACCTCAACTAATTTGGTGATGGTAATAAAGATTAGTACAGTGCAATCCACTTATAACGATAAGGACAAAACCCGAAAATTCAACCGATTATCAATGTATCTGGATTAGAAACTGAGCGTTTATAACCTAGAAACTGATCGTTATAAGCAGTACATCGTTATATGTGGTATCGTTATAAGTGGATTGCACTGTACGTCTCCCTCTTTATCCAGTGAGTGGTTGCCTTGTTTATATGTTCAATTTTCTTTAGCGTGAAAGTTTATGGTTTCCCTTTTCCTTTTTAATTTATGCCTTTGGAATGTGTGTTACGAGTGGCTGCGGCTCAAAAATAAACATTTTATTGACACGTTATCAGTGCGATGCCGTGGCCGCTTTTTTTGTTACCATGGGACCCAGTTCGAATGGCTGGATGGAGAACACTGGTTGTATAAATTTTAAAGGGACCTTAGTCTCTACTGCACTCGTCAAACGTGTTAGAACACGGAGAACGCTGGCATCTGGCGTTTGGCGTTCGCGTTCGAACATGTTCAATGAGTAGTGAAGACAAAGCTTTGCTTCTGTACACTAATCATTCCAGCCAGAGGCCCTAATCTGGACACTTGGCGAAAAAGTCGGCGAGAAACCTGGCAACCATGATTGGCCAACACCGCACTAGACCTTGCCGCTGGCCTGTCATAGCTGCCAGATGTCTTGGCGACCTTTTCACAGGTGTCCAGATTAGGGCCCCAGAGCTCTATGCAGCGATGGAAGTGCTGCGCTAAGAATTTTGCTAAGAATTGTGCCACACCTGTGCCAAGTAGGCACCAGTGAGAAAAAATAAAGATATTTCATTATATGTCGACTCTAGTATTCAAGGAAATAGATGGAAAAGAAAATGGTACAAATGTGTACATATTGCACACATTTCTACTTGCCGTATAGTTTGTTTATCATAGGTCAGAGCACAGTCGAAGGTTCAAATGCATACAACCACGAACACATATATTAAAAGCGCAAGTCACGGGACATTTGCTGCACTTGATTTCTCTAGCTGATGAAAAATTGTGTGTAAGAAGATGAATGACATTATGTTGCGATTTGACGCTGATTGATTGACCATATTTGATTTTGTCATTGCGGCATTGTGTCGATACTGGACTTCTCGTACACTAAAATGTATGATCTCCACTGCATCTTGAACATAACAGTGTAGAATATTACAAACTAAATTTTACAAGAGATAGGCTGCCTGTGTTTTAATTGCTTAAACAAGGCAATAACCGACATGGTCAGCTGTTTTTTCTCTGGCTTAGTTTAGACGAGAAGACTCTTATTTCACATGCAATTTATTAATTTTCTCTACAAATTGTATATATATATATATAATTTTTAGAAATAGCTTGAAACATAACAGTGCGGCTCAAGGAAAAATAAACTCGCGCAAGGGATCTCCACAACCTCAACCAATCGTCCAGTAGGAACCGAAAGAAGGAAACTCTCAAGTTTAAACTGGTATTGCCGAACCACTTCGCGGCGCAGTATCTTTCGCAACTTTTCAGCTATGGAAGATACTGCGTCTGTTTGTGGCCGGGGGCACTCGGCCACAAACCCGCACTGAAGGAGCGATGCAGGTGTGGACAACCTGCATTGAGTCGGTGTAAAAAAAGAATACGCTGAGGACGAAGGACCAAAGGCTCTATTGCAATTCAGAACGAACCATAATTTGATTTTACTCGCTCGTCACTCAAACGCAACCGAAACAGTGCGCGGCGCCGTACGAGTGCCGTTGGGCCGTTGGTAGGGACGAGGAGCAGACCACGGCGGGGCAGAAGAGCAGACGCCCCGCGCGCTCTCGCCGGAAGCCGGAAACGGCGGCAGGCGTCGGCGCGACCTCTGCGATTTAAAGTACAGAAGGCGTGGCCGTGGCCAATGACGTCAAGATTCTAGTATTTTAAGTTATTTTGACATAAGCATGTTTTATTTTGGATGCCGCCGATTGCATTTTGAAACGTTGGTCGGTTATTTTAATTTTATGAACAGTTGCAATTAAAAGAAACTAATTTTAATGACTGAGAAGGTAATAACTTAATTTATTTACTAATCGGTGCTGCCCTAAAACCCCTAAAACTCATCCCAAGGTATATGTACAGATGGTAGCGAAACTTGGGCCAAAGCACGGTACAAAACAAATTGCCAGCGACATCAACCAGGAGGGTCACGTGGTTACGGTGCGTCTGAAGCGCGACTAGGAGACGTTATGGCAAACTATATACAAATAAAATAACTTTAATTTAAATTATACTAAATTGTATTTTAAATTTTGTATGTTGTTATTATAGTGGTCTTAAATAAGGTTTATCGCGCTCGAGAAAGCTAAAATAGCTTTTATTACTACTAATATTCTAACTTGCTCTTAGCGCCCTCTGTACTGCACAAGCAACAAGGCTGGCTTTTAATAGCGATAAATTGCAGAGGCATCGTGCTGCGCGAAGAGGCAGGTTTTGTTGTCCGTCTGCTTGCTTCTTTCAGGTCTCCACGTGCTTTATGAATCGTTCTACCGTCACTTCAAATAGTTTGAAAAGTTTCGTTCGCTCAGCGTAATTACGCAAGTTACGTGCGCAGGAGCGTAATATCAGCGTGATATAGAAACAGTCACCTTCGTGCGGTTGGACGCTGCTGCGTCCGAAGGGCTCAACGTCCTTCGTGACAATGAGCTCAACACGTTATGCAACGAGGCGTTGCTCCGTGGAAGAATGCCGAAGTGACAACCGCACGGCTGGCGTCTCGCTGCACCGGTTTCCTGTCGACACTCGAAGGTGACATTTTGTTCCTGTCAGTGAGGTGCCTGCTGTGTTGTGTTAAGTCTTTGTAAAATGTTCTCTTAACTGTTGTTAGTTTTCGCTGACTTTGCAGCGTTGTTTGCGCTCATTACGAAAGCGCCCAGGATATTTGAATTTACCTGAACCGGTTTGCCCCTCAGGAGTATGGGGTCATACTCATCGACGCTCTAATCAAGGATGCAACACGACATAGATACATTTAAAAGCCTCTGTACTAAAGCTTGAAGAAACCCTTCAGCGGAGCGGAAAAGAAGACGAGGAGGTTCGGGGACTTGGCCCGAGCGCGAGCTACAATTTCTATCGGGGATTTTCGTTCGGAACTGGGAAGTGTGAGTAAAGCAGCTACCGGTGATTAAAGTAGTGTTTTTTCTTGTAGTCATCAACGCTTCGGCTCAATGGTTTCGACATTTTGGTGCCGAAACCCGGGATCAGGACTGTACGATGGGCCAGATGAGAAGGTGTCACAAGCGTTGATGTAACGAGGCTACAGGACAAGACACCATCCAGCTCGAGAACGCAAGGGACCATAACGACGCTGCCATGGATAGGCTGAAACAGAAGCGAAAAGCCCTGCGTTCTCAGGTAACAAAGCTGCTGACGGAAATCGATACAGCTACCCAAACCGAAGTGCCGATTGAGGAAGAGCTCAACGTCTTACTGACTCGTCTCAACGCGCTACATGGTCAGCTTACCGAAACGGACTCTGCCCTCGAACCATTGTTGGCAGCAAGTGACATCGAACAAGAGTATGCTCGGACCGTCGAGTACAGCGATCGTATCGTCACCTACTCGGCAAGACTGGCCTTCAAGGTGCGGACCCTACACGAAAGAGCGAGTACAAGCGGTCAAGAAATCACAACAAGCCACCGCAGTCCCACTTCGTCAGTCAAGGTCAAGCTACCAAAACTTGAACTCTTGAAATTCAACGGACAACGTCAACAATGGCAGCCCTTCTGGGAGCAGTTCGAGCAGGTCATCCATGGTAACCCAGAACTGTCATCAGCCGAGAAGTTCCACTACCTCAGATCGGCGTTGTCGGGAGAGGCTG